TTTTATTAATAAATTTATTTTTGTTACAGATGTTTCTCCTTTTTCCCCGCAGACACCCTCCTCCCTATCTCCCCCACCCCAAGCATTGTTGTCTGTGTCCATTGGTTATGCATATATATATATAAGTTCCTTGGTTCATCTCATCCATCCTCCCCACGCCCCTCCGCTGAGGTCTGTCAGTCTGAACCATACTCCTTTCTATGTCTCTGGGTCTGTTTTGTTCATCAGCTTATTTTGTCCATTATATTCCACAAATAAGTGATATCATGTGGTATTTGTCTTTCTCTGCTTGGCTTATTTCACTTAAGATAATACTCTCCAGGTCCCTCTATGTCGTCTCAAAGGATATAAGATCTCTCTTTCTTACAGCTGCATAGTATTCCATTGTGTATATGTACCACAGCTTTTTTTTTCAACTCATCTACTAATGGACACTTGGGCTGTTTCCAGATCTTAGTGACTGTAAATAGTGCTGCTATGAACATAGGGGTACCTATATTCTTTCTGATTGGTGTTTCAGGCTTCTTAGGGTATATTCCTAGAAGTAGGATCACTGGGTCAAATGACAGTTCAATTATTAATTTTTTGAGGAAACACCATATTGTTTTCCATGGTGGCTGCACCAGTCTGCATTCCCACTTCCCCTTTTCAATTATAATTTTCAAGAGAAGACATTGCCCTTAAATAGCTTCGAAAGACTTGGGCTTGCAGAGGTACAGGCTGACTTCATGGTGTGGGGAACGCAACACACCAAGTTCAAGTTCTTCCTAAGTAAATTGGGGATGTTGACAAAGTATTCAAAACTTTGGAGATGCCCTTAAAAACACTGCTGCTCAGTTTTCTTCCTATATAGTCATGACTCATATGGTACAATAATAATTTCAATGAACTCTTCTAACTTTTAGAAAAAGCTGTGCTGGAGCTAATTTCTTGTGGGGAACAGAAAAGAAGTGATGGTCTTTTTGTTTTTTTATCCTCACCCGAGGACATTTTTGCATTTATCTTCAGCGAGAGTAGGAGGGAGAGAGGGAGAGAACCATTGACGTGAGAGAGACACATCGAGTGGTTGCCACCTACATGACCCCAACCGGGGCCAGGGACAAACTGCAACCAAGGTACGTGCCCTGAGCGGGAACTGAACCCAGAACTCTATGGTTTGCAGGCCGACGCTCTAACCGCTGAGCCAAACCAGCCAGGCCATGGTGGTGGTCCTTTTTCTCCACAAAGGGGATGGAAGCCACCTGAGCAGCCCTATCATTACAATTCACCTAGAAATCTTTTAGTTTTGTAATTAGCAAAGCATTAAGGAGTGCTTTATAATCAATTTGTCTTTATGACTCAGAATCTTGTAGCTATAATTACTGGGGGACTCCATTTATTCTTTAAAAATCTATTTCAAAAACTCTGTGTAGTATTTTTCAGCTACTCTCAGTCCTTTCTTCAGCCTTTTGTGGAGACCATGCCAAGGGTACGTCAGGAGAGGATAATGACTGTCTCCGCACGATGCAATTTAGGGCAACGAAGTTCTGCAGCAAGTTGCCCAGGTGCCCCTCCAGAATTCCACCTGCCATTCTGACTCCTCCCTCTCCTCACCCACCTCAACATCACTTCTCCTCCATCACAGCTGCTCCGATGACCTTGGACCACCTGCTCTCTGCCTCACACGGGCTCTACCTGGGCTTCCTGCCTCAGTCTTACCCTCCCTTGTCCTCCCTCCACTGAGACTCCGAATCAAAAAGCTGACTCCTCCCTCCTCTGCTAACACTTTCCTGTCTCCGCCCACGTAGCCTGGAGGTGAAGGGATCTCAGATCTTTCATGTATAAGATGAAGAGAAGATGACTTCATGGACTACTGTGAGATTTAACTGGCATAATGTAAATAAGGCCATTGGTTTACATGAAAAGAAACTACAAATGTAAGAAGTCATTAAAGGAAACTTTAATTGATCAAACGATTCAGTGATTAAGTAGTTAAATATAATTACTTGAGTGACTATACCTACTAAGCTAATGAATTGCGGCGGAAGTTTTGTGGGCGTACACAAGCGGCGATGCTGATTTCTCTGTACACGACCTGTTAGGGGCTATGTCCCAAGTAGTGCCCAGGCAGACGCCATGCCTGTCACCCAGCGGGCATCACAGACGTCTCAGAAGCCGTGTGTTTATCATCCGCACACCAAATTTGGCTTTTTGTAGATAAAGCTATGCAGCCCTGATTTTTTTTTTCTTGGAACCTTATTAGACCATGATTCTATGCCTTTCCAACCTCTGTGTCTAACAGTGTTTCTCATCTTTAGAGAAAACCAACATGAAATGCCCACACGGCTGCAGGCCCTTATCGGGGGCAAAAATCCTCCCAACAGAATAGCGTGCTCTAAGTCAAGACGCAACAGTAACAAATGCGTGGTAACCAGTCCATAGCTGGGGAGCAGTCACTGCTGTGTACGGGGAACTGGTCGGAGTTTTATTAATCCCAGAGTCAGTCCTCAGTCATCATGGATGAGTTATGTGCCCCTAAATAAAATGCAACCTGAAATGTAGTGAGAATTCTATAGAAATAGAAGCCTAAGACCAAATTTTCTCAGAAAGAGAATTCATAAAACAATGAAAATAGGAAATGCATAAAATGTTAGGATATTTGGACAAACTACCGCTGCTCGATGAATTACCGCAGCCCCCTGGACTCAGTGCAGTGCAGTTAGGAGACCAGGAGAAAGACGCTCATATAAGAGTACTCACATATATGTTCTATAGGAACGTCCTATGAAACACAGCGCGTTGTGCAATCCTTCCTTCTCCACGAACACGGTCTTTGAGCTAGACCATTTCCTAACGTCTAACCAGACTGTGCAGGAGTTTTGACTTACTGGGACTTGCAAGTTTATGCTAATGTTTGTGGACTGTACAGGAGAGCAGACAAGACAAATACACCTCACGATGGCTACTTCTCTCCCAGCCCGTCTCCTAGCAGACATCATGATCAGTCGTGGCCTTCTTTCTACTTAGCCTGGGAGGTATCCCCATGTGGATTTCAACATGGTATTTATTCTACACAGAGTTAATTCCTTCTTGTATTCACTTAACAAATACTGCTGAATTCTTACGCTGTGCCAGGCACTGTACCAGGGAGGCACATTGCAGACTGAAGTCATTTAAACAGACAAGAACCTTGCCCTGATGGGACTTAGATTAACAACTGATTTGAACCCAACACCGTGACTGTTTGCTGGACCTACTTTGTTGTACAGTTGAAATGGAAATGATTTTGAATAGCTGTTTCCCCTCTATTATCGGGGATGAAGAAGAAGAAGAAGGCTCTGCACGCCCGCCCACGGGCTCCGTGAACCCGCGAGGCCTGTTGACCGGCACGGGAGTTACAGATGAAAAGAGCTGGATGTTATTTTTTAGAGAGAGAGAGAGAAAGGGAGAGGGTCATCTTTTAGTTATTTAAGTATTTGCTTTTCAAGTCAGATTCTGATCAACGTAGAGGAGGTGATTTTATGAGAGTTTTAGTATGAATGAGTTTCACCCCACTCCCTAGAAAGACAGGGATAAAGTGTTTTCCCCTGAGACACGTGCCAGGAAAGCATGACCCACCGTGTGGACCTAGAGAAAGAGCACAGATGTCTGCATACGTGCCTTTGCCACCCTGGCAAAGCGTGTCTGCTGTCTCCCCGGCTGCAAAAGCTCAGCTCTGAAGGCCCCCGGCACAGCACCTCTCTCCCCCTGGCGTCCAGCCTGGTGCCCTCTCCACCGGCAGCAGTGGGCTCACGTCCCTCAGCTGGGATCCCTGGCCTGACTCCTAGATGGGATGGTTGCATTCCTGCAGCGGCAGACTGCTAGGAAGCTGTCTAGCTGGGACAGTGCAAAATGTGCAAACAGGAGTTTGGAGGAGCAGAGGCAGAAGGGCAGCCGGGCCTAAACAGGCTGGGGAGAGCTCCAAAGAGATTCCTGCCAGTATCATACAACCGTCTCCGAAGACTAATCCTGGATCTGCTAATTACACGCCACGTTACGGTAAAACGCCGTCTAATTGCTTTATTTCATAAATTCAAAAAGATTGCCACCAACACGTAATTCTACGGTACTGCCTCCAGCGCGCAGGTCCAGTTCTTGAACTCACCGGATTTACACGCGGTGTGTAGTCAGACTACTGGATTCGGGTGGTTGGTTGTTTCATTTTGCTTTTTAATTTGCTTTTGTGCCTAAGGTGCCTGCTAATTTTGCTTTTAGTTCTCTAGAGCCTCATTTTTAAAAAATCCCTGCCAAGGAAGAACAAAATAACAGGCCCTCTTCCTTATTCTTCCTCAGGGATTCATTTCTAGTGTCAATTTATATTTCTTTAAGGATTTTGCACGTCTTCCCTCTGAATATTGTTTTATTTTTTATTCTCTAAGGAAAAATAGTACCACAAAAATTATAACCGAAAAATGACTCATTTTTACCTTTTGCTCTTTTCCCCATTTAATTGTACATGCCAGGTCTTCTAGCATTATAATACTTGCTCAAAGAACATGAAATCATACAACATCACCCAGTGGAACCAATTTTGTAGCATTCAAGAGACAATTAGCAACATTGCATTTACGATGAATTTGGTAGAAAGAATAATATTTTACAATTCTAACATGTAAGAGAATGCAGTTAGTGTGTTAAAGGACCAAAATAAATCTTATATTCTCTTTTGGGCTTCTTGGTAATTAAGAGATAGAACTAAAATCTTGTCATTAGTTTATTCATCCAACTATGTGCAAGACATAATTCTATTTTATGAGCGAAATAGACAAGAATCTCTCCCTTCGAGGTGCATACAATTGACCGACTGATCCATGAAAATTCTAGTTGAAGTGGACATTCAAGAAATGCATTCTAAAAATTTCTACAACTGGGCTAGAACCTCTTTCCTGCCCCCTAGAAAACCCCCTTTCCAATGGCTCGGGATAAGGTTATGACCCTCTGAGAAACCATAAAAAACAGAATGTAGAAAATGGAAGTCTTACCACTAATAAATATATAGATTGTAGATTCTGTTTGCTTGTTCTTCGAAGCAGGAGTAGATAGATATTTGCAGCTGTAGAAGCCAGTGTGGTGTGCCTGGGCTGCGGTCAAGGTCAAAGTGCTGCAGTACTGTTTGCCGTTCCTGCCACAGGCGGATTTCGTGATGTTCAGCTTTTTGCTGTCCTTTCTCACCGTCTCAGGCAAAGACCAGGAGTGGTCTGCTTTCCCCCTGCAAGCACAGATGAGAAAAGAAAACACAGTTAGCGCTGGGCCAGCTCCTAGGCACTCATCTCATTAGGAAACACTCTTCTGAGGTCCTTTCTTTAGTGTAGCCATCTTTTTCTTTACAGAAAAGCAATGCATTTAGAAAAGCCTTTAAACAACTCAGAATAAAGACACAAAAATGTGTGTGGGCATCCCTTCCCGTTTGCCCTTGGGTGAGTGAGTCCCTTCAGGAGGCGAATTACCTCCATGTGAGGCAGGACACATGTGGTTTGCACTTTGCTAGTCGCAAGAGACCACTGAAGTGTCCACCTGTCCACTCTGGGCGGTGACCTTTCTGCTTCACCTTAGGAAGGGCAGCCAGGGTGTCCCCCAGCCGAGCCACTTACCTGCATTTGATACACAGCGAGTCGCCTGCTTGCATGACGTACTGGGTGCCTTTTAAACTCAGTTCAGGAACTTTTAATTTTGAACCTGAACTAGATCCTGGAAAATAAATTTTTGAAATGTATTATTTGTAAATTGCCATCTCATAGTTGTTGTGTTTTTTTTTTAAGTTATATCTTTCCATAAAGGTCACTTTTCATCTTTAACTTACTTTCATCTGCAGAAAGGTATGTTGCATACAAATTCCTCTTAATTCGCTAATTTTTTCTAGTCTAAGTCAGACTCATGAATATTATATATCCCATTATATATTCCATTATATATCTCATTATACAAAATAATCTAAATAATATCCAAAAGTCCACTAATTTAGAATATTAATAGATTTATATGAGGTTCAAAATGTAACTGCATTACTACTGCATAGTGTGGACAGCAAGGGGCCACCAGCTAAGCCTGACCAGATCAGGGCCTACACGGTGGCCTTACAAACTCAGAGACCAAAGTAACCACACAGGATGGTCTGAACATCAAAATCCCGAACTACAAGTGGGTCATGGTAGGTCACGTCCTAGGCCTGTAGCTTCCTTGACAAAGTTCAGTCTGCCCCTAACAGAGTCTGTCTATTGTTTTTCGCATCTATGACAGCATACCTTTGAAAGGTCAGAGTAACCTCCTTTTCCAGACCCCTCAAGGAACGTCCCCTGGCACCAGAACAGGGGACCACAGAGCCCCTCATTGCCATCTTGTTCCCCGAATACCATCTCTATGTGCTGTTAATGTTAATTATTAACTATCCTGTACCCACTGATGTAATAGGAGGTGTGTGTCTCTTCGTTTTACTTTTTATTCCACCCCAGAGATTTCCCTGCTTTGCTTTCTCCCACCCCTGAATCTACCACCCGTGGATTGCATGTAACCCCTGATGTCTCCTCCTTTGACTCTAATGTATGAAACTAGCTGCAAAGCTGCCCTTCTCTGGAGCACTTCCTCAATCCGTGGCGGTTTTGCTTCCCGGCAGCTGTCAGTCTGGCTCAAACAAACTCACAAAAATTCTCTGGAGGCTTGGATGTTTCTAACGTTGACAGTAAGAACTTACTAAAAACTCAGGATAAAACGTCAGGCATCCAAATATAGTTCTAATACCAGTGCGCGCCGGCGGGATACGAGGCCTGCCTTTTTTCTGAGTACCAAGCACACACATTTTCTGGGTTCTAGACATAGCTCAGTCATTAGTTAGGCCACGCTACTCTGGGCGGGTCCTTTCCTTTGGGAACGCGTTCCCTCATTTGGAAAACGAATTCTAGAGCCAGTCCGATTTGGAAGCCATTGGCTTGTCTTACATCATCTCCAAGTGCCCTCTGTCGTGGAACAGTGAACGCGAACGGCCCGCTCCTACGTGACACTTGCCAAAGCGTGTTTCATGAGGACTGTTGTAAGGCAATAAAATAAACTCTGCAGAAGCGCTTTACAGTCTATACATCTCTACACCACACAGGGACAACATCCATCCTACTGACCGTGCGAGCTGGACAAGCCCTCGTCCCGCAACTCAGTTCTCTTAGCTACAAAACGAGCCTGGGCCGGGTGACCTGGGCGCCGACTTCCCGTTACCAACTGGTTTCACGGCCAGTGAACCACCGCCGCTATGGAGGCTGACTTCCTGAGGCTCCCGCTGACGAGTCAGGATGGACCTCCGTGCAGAGCTCTGCTCCGCAAGGCCTGCTACAGGCCCGGGATCAGCAGGGATCAGGGATGGGGAGGGAGGAAAGATTCTGGGAGGGAAGAAAGTTAAGTAGAGTCAATCTTAGGAAATCTTTTTACTTAAAAAATAGGTTTATGAAATGAATTTCAAGGTAGAAGATTGAGCTGGACGGTCCTCTGGGTTTTAAAATTTATTTTTCTTTATTTATTTTAGAGAGAGAGGAAAGGAGAGGGAAAGAGATACAAACATCGATGAGCGAGAACCTCGATTGGCCGCCTCCTGCAGGCCCCCCACTGGGGATCGGGCCCACAACCTGGGCATGTGCCCTGACCGGGAATCGAACCAGGCCGATGCTCAACCACTGAGGCACACCGGCCGGGCATGGTCCTCTGGGTTTTAACGTTCGATCTCAGGTCTGAGAGATGAGATCCACGTGTCTGATTCCACAGTTCAGTCTAGCAGAGCTGTAGTGTTTCTCTTGGGTCCTAATATCTCAAAACAACCTCAAAAACCCCCCAAATTTGACTCAGTTAAAGATCTGCAGATCTGCATTTGAAGCTTCATTGCTCTGTTCACGCACCACATGGCTTTGGGCATCACTTAATTAGTTGCTCCTTAGTACCCTCCAGTGTGAAACTGGAGGCCAGCATCTCTCTCACAGGCCGTGTGTGCGGACTCAGTGCTATGTGATCTAAGTGGTGGCCATGCTACCTGGCAGGGGACAGACTCCCACTGGCACAGGCAGCAGGAGGATCTGCTCCCCTCTCCACTTGTCGGGGAACAGTTGGCTGGGTATGTGATTGCAAAGATATTAAAGGAACATTTTCTGCTTTTCTGGTGTTGCCAGTAATATAAATTATTATTATTTTTTTGGTATGTGCCCCTAGCGGGAACCGAACCTGAGACTCTCTGGTCCACAGGCTGATGCTCCAACCGCTGGGCCAAACTAGCCAGGGCTAAATTAATATTTCTAAAGTAACCTTTATATATAATAGGTCCTAGTATCAAGCTACTACTAGGAAAAAAAATGGTTCGATATTAACTCATTTGAATTAAAATCACTGATTTATACGGATACAGTTGGTCTATGACACGGCCCCACAGAACAAGTCCACCATGCAGGCACCTAGGAAAGGCTTTCGTCCTTCACCCATACTCACGGGTTTCCTGGGAACACCAGGTTTCCTAAGGCCACAGCCAGCAATTGATAACACCACCCTGAGAAACGTCCAGGCCAGAATGATTTCTGCCCTTCTTTACGGCTGGGGCTCTGGGCCTTGGTAGAGCCATTGTTTGTGTCCTGGAAAGGACCCAGCACCGCTTCCTGCGGAAAATTCTGGCGTTGCTTGCAGGTAAGCTCTGTGGTTCTCGGGAGCTGAGGAGCTTTGTCCTCTAGGAGGGGCGCGGGGAGGAGGCCTCCCTTTTCGCCTTATGGGTCCTTCCTAATGCCTGCTTCTTTGATTTCCAAATCGTATGACTCTTTCTTTATCAGCAACCTGGAACACAGCAATGCTGCCCCTGATCACAGAGAAACTTTGACCTCAAGGGACCACCCAAATGCCAGCAGAGAGCTGATCTACCACCTGAAGCTCCTCCCTTCCTGCCGGCTCCACCCTCCAACCGCAAGCAGACAGCTGAGGGGTTCAGTAGGATCTGAGACAAAAACAGGGTTACTGGAAAGTGTAGGGGGAAAGGCGAGGGAAAATATTTTGCTCTCCCATGTATCCCCGCTGACATCAATTCACTCTGCACTTGGAGTGAGGAAGCTAGAGAAAAGTAGCAGAGTAAAAACAAAGGAAAGAGAAGTATAAGGAAGTTGTATTTCCAAGAAACCGGACCCTGAGCACATCGCCATTCCTCAGTTAATAGGAAACTAGAGTCTTGTAAAGATTAATGGAGGTGCCAAGATGTAGTTTAACAGGAAAACTAATAAGGAAAAAGGAAAGTGACATGTTTATTCTTCAAACGTTCTGAAATGACATTAGGCCTTAAAACAGTTCGTGAGACAGCTCAATGTCCACACACCTGCTTGAGTAATGAAGATTTAACCACCATGTTCTGAGTACCTCCTGCACGTCCGATACGTAATCCGTCGCAGTAGTGATAGACATAAAGATGTAAATATGTACATGTCCACATACGTGTCCACTTTCACACCACATGCAGCTCAGATTTCTCTTCTCAGTAAGACCGTAAAGTCACACCGCCCCCACATGGGCTAGCTCATTTCCCAGGGTGGAGTGCTACCGCTGAACAATGACACCCCCATTGTGAAGCTCGAAGGGGGTCAAAACAGTTTGCCATGATAGCCCAGAAGTCTGGTTGAAAAACACTGCTGTCCTCTCGGTGACCTAGGTGGTCCGCAAGCCATTGTTTTCCCCCAAGTCAACTACAATACCATCGTGAAGGGCAGAAAGGTCTCCTTATATCAGGACAATTATTATTGAAACAAAACAAAGAGCTCACTGCAGACCACAGAAGTGGGCTCGATCACATACTTCTTTATTAGAAAAACACTATAAGCAGTGTGGGCTAACAACATTAAAACCAATGTGTGTCCTTGGACTAAGGTGAACACTGACATTGTATTGTCCTTGTCTGGATATCACTCTCATTGCCTGTCTGTTCAGTAGTATCGGGTAGGCGAGAAAGAGAATAGAACTTTATGACTCTTTGGCAAAAAGGCCTTCTCTCCCCACATGCCAAGCATCCGGTAGAGAACCCCCCAGACTGTCCCGAAGTTCACTCTCCATCCCTCCTCCGCTTCATCTCACGAGAGCAAATGCAGTGCTGTCTTGACTTCAGTGGGAACGAGTAAAATTCCAAGGGAAGTATGACTTTCAAAGCCCCAAATGACTGAGGCTCTTTCTTCAAAGCGACGGTGCTGGTCCTAGAGGCGCGAACTCCCACTGTAGGTCACGAGGAACCACACAGCTCATTATCTTGGGGCTGAGAGAAGACACATATGTAAACTCTGACTGAACATATGGGAAGAAGGCCATTTTACTGAGCTCGGTGAAAACACTGTACTAGTTGAATGCCACTTCAAAACCAGTACCTTCCAGATGCCACCCTCTGCTATATAAGGGGCCGTATTCAAATACAAACCATGAAATGTCTATGTTTCTGTGTTATTTAGTCATAACTCTCCCAGCTTTGCTGCTGACTAGCTCTGCTGTGACCATGGACATGTCACATTATTCATCTGCCAACAGAGGGGGCTGGACTTAGATGGTTACAATCCCTTCCAGGCTAAAAAGTCGATGATTCTAAAATCACAGTAATTGACACCAAATGTACACATTTGAAACTGCATTCCAAAGATACTTATGACTAATAAAAAGACAGATAACCCACTTTCAAATGGTCAAAGGATCTGAATAGGTATTTTCCC